AGGTCATCTTAGCATTATCCGAGTGCCAGGTGAGTTACTATAATAAAGGTACAGAGTGGTAAGAATGTAACAATCAAGATGGAGAGTATGAAAATGTCAGTCTTCGTTAAGCTGCAGTACAATAAAAAAGACAGATACCTGTTGCTGCTTCAAATCCTGGGCATCGAAATTCATTTAAAACCTCCTTTAAATGACCGTAATAAAACCCTAACCAGGCTCAGAAATTATGTGTGGTAGGCCTGACCCTAAACTTAACCCTAACCCTAAACCTAACCCAACCCTCCCAGGACTCTGCTGCTCTCCTTCCTTCATAGTTACTTTTTAGTTGTCAAATGGTTCAACGTTCATGACCTCTCCTTATCCAAACCACATCAGAAATCTTTCCCCTAACTGAGCATATTCTCAACTTCTCCTTGAAAAGATTTGAGGTATTTTTGATGTATCGTGCATTTTTATAAACAGCTCTGGAAAAATTGAGACCACTCTATATATATTTTTTTAAATCTGCATTTTTAAATCCTGGCTTAATCCTGGTTCTGCTGGCAGAAGGCTACACTGCTTCCAGGCTCCAGAACTCTAAGACAGCAGTACACAAGGACAAGGTGAAGCAGGAGACCCTGGGAACGACCAGAAACCAGCCAGGTAAAGGCAGAAGCAAGTTTCTAATGCCAGAGATGACTGTTAACTTATCCGACAGTTTCTCATAAATAGGAGGATGACATCAAGTGAATGACTGGGAAACATTAAGTGCAGGTGTGAAGTGCATTGCCAGGATAGTTCATAACAGGCTCCTAGAAGCAGGACTGAAGCCCCATAAAGCAAGGAAGTAGCCCTTCATTAATGAGAAGCAGGGAAGAATGAGGCAGTTTACAAACAAAAGTACAGACGCTCCTCTACTTACGGACTTTCAGACATACGAACGAAGAGGACTGTAAGTCCAAACTGTGTTCACTGGGCTCCTGTTTCCTGTCCGCAACATCAATCTTTATTTCTGCGCGCCAATTCCGCCTAGTATGACTTCTGGCCGCTACTCCCGCCGCGCAGCAGCGTAGCGTGCGGACTCCCAGCATCCCAGTTCTTTATACTTGCGTATACCCTTAAAATGATGTTGAATGACGACTTACAAACATTTCAAATTACGAACGGCCGTTTGAAGCGTATCTCATTCGTAAGTAGAGGAGCGTCTGTATATTTTACTCAGGCGCATACCCATAAATTGAGAAATGAGTGAAACTAAAAATGTTGCTGTGGTCTCTTAATTTTTGCTGTACGTATAAAGTAAACACACACACACACACATGCACACACACACACATGCACACACGCGTTCATACATTCATACATATTTACAAATGTTAGTGATCTCAGGTGGTAGATTGCAGATTGCATATTCAGCCGGTGGGGGGGTGCACTGCTTCAGCTCGCTTTGGCCACGTGATTTGACATGCTTTTACATGACCTTCCTGAGTGTGGCCTGCAGTTCTTTCTCTCTTTTTATAGACAGACTGTCTTTTCTTTTCAGAAATCTGCCCTTTTCCTTCTCAGAGGTCAGGTGGTCATCTTCAGCTCTGGATTCTTCATTTTCTCGAAAATCGGCCGTGAAGCCATTTTCCCACCAGGCCGCTGGTGACTATTCTCCGCTCTCGGTGAGAATGTGATTGATGCATTTAATCGGACATAAAACTGGAGGCAAGATTTCGTGGCTGTGGGAAACCATCATAGACAGTTTGGATAAAAGGATTCGCATCGCCGCTGCCTGGTGTCGTACCTAGTAGTGATTAAGGTGACTGGTCAGATTAAAGTGAGGCAGTTAACTGAGTTAGTTAGTACTTGACTGGTTCCTGCAGTGGAGTGTGTGGTACCTCAGATATTTCAACACCTTCATCTATAGAGAACAAACTGAACAAAGGGCCATTTTGAATTAGACTCTCTTTATTCTTTTGTTGGTCTTTCTTCATTTCCTCCTCTCTGCCTCTGTTTCTCTATCATCCTGTTCTCCCCCCTTTCACTTTCTAGATCACTCCTCCTCTCCCTCTGCCTCTTCCTGTCATCCCCCTTTGTTGAATGCTCTCTCTCTGTCCTCCTCGCTTCCTCTCCAGAGTCTCACGGCTTCTTCCTCATCAGCAGATGATTCTTACTTCCCTATTGTCTCTGCTCATGCTCTCTGTTCCTGTGCAAACTCTTCTTTTTCAGGCAAACATGGCCTTCCCTTTCTCCCATTAACTGAAGGGTTTTCAAATCATCTATACGCATTGCTCGCTGCGTCGCCGACAGGTGCCAGTGAGGGGCAGGGAATTATGGGTAGTCTTTGGTATTATGGGTAGTCACGGCGTGTGTGAGCGGTGGTGCCTGTGCTGATCCCCTTGAGAAATCGTCTCGGAGGTAACTCTGTTTGGAGACGCCATTGCTGATGTTTCAGCCCTACAACCTCTGCACCATCTTAGCTTTCAAAGAATGCAAGCATGAAATGAAAAAGCTTTTTATGGTCCGTGGGGGCAAGTGGACCTACATAGAAAAGCGAACTTTTGCTCTACTCCTCCATCCTGTAGGCGTGGAGCACTATTTTCCAGCACTACATAGGCTAGGTGAAGCATGGAGGGGGGCAGCCTTTAGTTGAAGTGTAGGCTAGGTGAAGCATGGGGGAGCAGCCTTTCGGTGAAGCGTAGGTTAGGTGAAGCATGGGAGGGCAGCCTTTAGGTGAAGCGTAGGCAGCCATGTTTGGTCTTTGGTTTAGTACTGAGGAGTGAACAACCTGCGTCAATGTGAGCCTTTAGTGCTGGGTATCTGTCTGGCGTGACCTGGCATGTGAGGTTCTCCACCTGTCAGTTGCTGTGAAGGTGGGATCTCGAGGTCAGTAGCAGTGACGACCGACCAAGAGAGGATGGCCGCACCTGTGTGTCGGTGCCTCGCTGTGTGCGTGCACCCAGCCGCACGGCAAATGTAGTCTCTTGTGCCATCAGAATGGTGTGTCACCCTGTGATTTTCCCTGTGAGGTATCGCTCCCTCTGTGTGGGGGTCCATGTCACATCCGGAGTTTAGAGTCTGGTGATCCAACGCGTTTGGCCGCGCTAACGCTAGCAGCGCTAATGCTAGCAGCGCTGAGGCGGCCCCTTGGCCACCTGCTGGTCCCCGTCTCCTGCTCTGCAGGTTCCGCTCACGCATGGTCTCCTCCTGTTAGATCTGGGAGAGAGTGAGTCGGCTTAATGTCAGAACCTGCCTGTCCCCAGACACCCCATCTGCATCACACACAACCCCCCGCCCCCCCCACCTGCCAACATCTGAGAACTTTCTGAAACATGCTGGGAGGACCCAGGTGGAGCTGCGAAGCCCCTCTCCCCCTCCCAGCCAGTAGTTCTGGGGTGCTTTTTGAAGATGGGAGCCCCTTCCTTTCTGACTTACGTTTTCTCTCATTTCGCCCTGACTGTTGTTTTATGCACGCCTCCCTGGTTTCTTCCTTCCTTCCTTTGTGTCTTATCTCTCCCTTTTTCCCTCCTCTGTCTGTTCGTCTCCTGACCCCTTGCTATTGGGAGGCCTCTCCTTTAGACGCACTTTTACCTGTTACAGCTCACAAGGATCTGGAAGTTTACTAGTTAAATTCTTCCGCCATTTCCCTTTTCCTCTCTCTCTCTCTCTCTCTCTCTCGCACCTGCCTTCTCCCTCTCCCTCTTATCCCTCCTACTATCAATAATAATAAACAATCGTATACCTTTCTCTTGTCTCTGCACCCTGCCTCTCACTTGCTGATGGACTCTTTTTTTATTATTATTATTTTCACACTCCCCATCCCCCTTTCCCTTCTCCTCTTCCCCTCTGCCTGTCCCCATCCCCCGCTCAGCACCGTACCTCCCTTCCCTGCCTTCTATTTTTCTCTTTTTGACCTCCTCTGTTCTCTGGCTCCTGCTCTCCCTCCCTCGTTTTTTTCGTCGTCCTGTCTTCCTTTTCACAGCATTCCTCCCCCCACAATCTCCCTGCCCCCACCTCTGTCTTTCTCCATCTCCCTCCCTCTACATCTCATTCTGTCTTTCTTCACATCAGTCACCCTCATTCCCCCTCTCTCTCCCATCTCCACATCTCTCTCTCTCTCCTTTACATCTCTCATTTGTCTTTCCTCGTTCTGTCTCTCCCTCTGCTTTTTAAATGTTCTGTCTTTCATCTCTCATTGCTTTTTTTAACCACATTTCCGTCTGAGGACTGTGTGGATTTTCTTGACATCAGCTGAACGTTTGTCTTTGAGCCCAACATCACAGATACGCGTTTGACAGTTCAGCACTAATAGACAGACTTGCAATAAAGGTGCGTTCAGATGCGCTCTGATCCTGTGTGTGTGTGTGTGTGTGTCTGTGTGTGAGAGAGAGACAGAGAGACAGAGAAAATCATTAAATGTATTTCTAATGTAGGGGGGAATGAGAAGAACTGTGTGTGTGGGTCTGTCCGCCAACCTGTGTGTGTGTGAGGGTCAAATAATAGGAGGAACATTTGTCTGCGTGTCTGTGCATGAGTATGTGTACATGACAGAAAGTGACAGAGGATGGCTGAACAGAGAGAGGGAGAGAGGGGATGGAAATGAACTGAGAGAGAGAAAGAGGGGATGGGAATGAACTGAGAGAGGTAGTAAAGGGATGGGAATGAACTGAGAGAGGGATTGAGGGGATAGGAATGAACTGAGAGAGGGAATGAGGGGATGGGAATGAACAGAGAGGGAGAGAAGGGATGGAAATGAAATGAGAGAGGGAGAGAAGGGATGGAAATGAACTGAGAGAGGGAGAGAAGGGATGGAAATGAACTGAGAGAGGGAGAGAAGGGATGGGAATGAACTGAGAGAGTGAGAGAAGGGATGGGAATGAACTGAGGGAGTGAAGGGATGGGAATGAACTGAGAGAGGGAGAGAAGGGATGGGAATAAACAGAGAGGGGATGGGAATGAACTGAGAGGGAGAGAGGGGATGGGAATGAACTGAGAGGGAGAGATGGGATGGGAATGAACTGAGAGAGGGGATGGGAATGAACTGAAAGAGGGAGAGGAAGAAGGGGTGGGACTGAACTGAGAAGGAGAGAAATGGGGTGGAATTAACAGAGGGACAGAAAGAGGGGATGGGAATGACCTGAGAGAGGAAGAGAAAGAGGGGCTGGGAATAAACTGAATGGAGGGAGAGAAAGAGGGGATAGGAATGACCCAAGAGAGGGAGTGAAAGAAGGGATGGCAACGAACTGTGAAAGGGTGAGAAAGAGGGAATGGGAATGAAATGCGACACAGAAAAACAAGTTGATTGCAAAGGGAACAGCAGGCAGCTCCGGTAGCAGTAGGAGGAGGGGTCTGACCTCAAAGGATCCTCCCCCTCATCTAAAGCAGACAAACGGGAGATTTTCTAGGGCAGGCTTTCCACAGTATTGTCGATGGCTGATAAATCCTGAATCTTCTGAATGATCACTTCAGAGCCAGTGAGTCCGTGAGTTCTCTGCTTGACCCTAACCACGTTTCCTGTCTCGGAGGCTGGGTGGTTGTTGTTTCTATAGATGTGGGAAGCCCCCCCCCCCTCTTATTCCTCTTCCTCCCTGTCTTTCTGTTCTGCTGACTGTCATTCTGTGGTGTGGCTCCTCTCCCACTGCCACCCTGCAGTCTCCTTCATTGTTCTGCTCCTCCCCATTACTTTCCTCTCTCATTCCTTTCATCCTGTCCCCTCCCATCTTTTCCTGACCTCCCTTTTTTCATCTCTCTTTCTAGCTACTTGAAAACAGTGATCATACACCACACAAGGTTGAGGTGTTGGGGCAGCACCAAGATGCGTGTGGCTTTGTCCCCATCACTGGTCTGTTTGTCCCTCTAGACAGAAATCCATGCCAGGCGCTGAGAACAGGTCCTGTTTGTTATTTTAGGTGAGTACATACAGGTGGATAAATTTCAACTGTATTCTTCTCGCAGGTCTCCTTAGCTTTTACCTAAAAAGATCCAGGTTTCATTCAGTGTCATTCAGGGTCAGGTATTTCTGAAGGGTCCTTGATCCAGGTGCATGCTGGGGTTTCAGTCTACAGCCTCAGTTGCTGGGTTACCACCTGATGACTTGGGCAGTGTCCTGACAGACTGAATGGGTCCCCATAAGGGTCAGCCGTGTATTTAGTGTTTCAGAGGCTCTCCCTGTGGTGGTGTGTGGCTCATCTGGCTAAGCCTCTGTGCCTGTGATCAGAAGGTTGCTGGTTTGAGCCCCATCCTCGGCAGAATAGTCATATGTCCAGGGGCCCGTGAGCACAGCCGTTAACCTCCAGCTCAGGGGGGTGCTGCACGCTGGTCAACCCTGTGCTATGACCACTAACCTTGAATTTCCCCCCATGGGTTGGTAAAGTATTGCTGTTCTATTCTGTTGTCACACTGTGGTGTTTAATGAGGCCAGGCTGGCAGGACCATGGGCTTTCTGTGGAAGTCATGTCATTTCCTGCTTTCTCTTCTTATGGAGCATGCTGGAAAAGGAAACTTGGCACTCAGAGAGCACCCCTGCCTCTGGCCCCGTGGCCTCACGTGAGTCCTCTGCCCCGCCTGCTGGGGTAGGATGTGTGCAGAGCCTTTGCGCAAGTGGCTTATCTACCCTTGAGGGAACAGTTGAGTGGGGCAGACAGGGGGGTGATGTTGGCAGGTCAGGATCAAACAGGAAGTCCACTTCCTGATCATGCAGACGAGGGTACAAAGAATACATGGGCATCCTCTGCCCTGTGCCATTGTCACCATAAAATAGTGAGTCAGATATGAGGAAACATTTTATTTCACTTGCTTGTTTTAATGACGCATTTAAGAGATGGTAAGGTATGGAGGCCTTGTTTTAATGTTAGCATGTGCTCTTTTAGGAGGACGGACGCAGGGTCCTGGTTACATGTAGCCTGGACCCGATGGACCAGCATCCAGAGGCAGCCACGCAGACAGAACCGGTGGTGGTTCTGTCTCTGGCCCAGGCAGCCATACTGGGCCTCATCTCCCAGAATGGTGTCTTCGGTGCCACCATCGCGCCCAATGCCTTCTATTTGGGTGGGGCCAAGGAGAGTCCCTCCCACCCTGTGGATGACGCAGAGTACGAGTACGCCGATCAGCTGATCGGGGCCAACGGGGACTACCTGGACGAGTGCTTGGGGAATGGGAATCCATCTCCATGCCAGCGGAGATGGAGGCCAGGTCCCCATGTGAAAGGAGAGGGAATGACGTCCACTCTTTCCACATGCGTCCATAGGCTGGTCAGAAGCCCCGCCCTTAGGGAGGGACTCCAACTGGCTGATCCTTCGTACCATGTGGACCTTCTGAACAAGGAGAGGTCAAGAAACAGCCGGCCCAGCTGTCAAAGTGAGGCAAGCGGCCAACAGGCAGGTGCCCAGGCCTCAGAGCGGGACATGGGCGGCCAGAAGGAAGAAAGGCATGATGGGAAGGGTGAAGTCAGGGGTGGGCGGGGGATTGAGGCCAGGGAGGAGGCGGGGATCCTGAGGTTTGGCCAGGCTTCTCATGGGTCCGGCAGGGTGGCGCAGGTGGACCGACTGGACGTCAACGTGCAGATCGATGAGTCGTACTGCGTGGACGTGGGCGGTGGCCTCCGGCGCTGGAAGTGCCGCCTGTGTGACAAGTCGTACACCTCCAAGTACAACCTGGTGACACACATTCTGGGCCACAGCGGCATCAAGCCACATGGTTGCCCGCACTGCGGCAAGCTCTTCAAGCAGCCGAGCCATTTGCAGACGCACCTGCTGACGCACCAGGGTGCGCGGCCGCACCGCTGCGCCGTCTGCCAGAGGGCCTTCACCCAGACCAGCCACCTGAAGCGCCACATGCTGCAGCACAGTGATGTCAAGCCCTACAGCTGCCGTTACTGCGCACGCGGCTTTGCCTACCCCAGTGAGCTGCGGGTGCACGAGGCCAAGCACGCCAGCCACGCCCACTCCGCAGGGCACCGGCCTGCCCACCGGGAGGCCACCTCCCACCAGTGTTCCCAGTGCCGACGGGCCTCTACCTGCCGCAGCCAGCTGCAGGCCCACCTAGCCAAGCACGTGACCATGCGGCCCTATGCCTGCTCTGACTGCGGCAGCGAGTTTGCCCAGCTCCACCACCTCAAGCAGCACGCACTGACGCACAAGGTACCAGTCTTCCCCTGCAGATGTGTGACTGTGCAATCCTGACATGTGTCTGCATGATCCTAGCATGTGTCTGCATGATACTAGTGTGTGACTGTCTGACGCGAGTGAGTGACTGTGTGACGCGAGTGAGTGACTGTTGCTCCTCACGTGTCACGGTGAGATATTTGCATGTGATTAGGTGATCCCAGCATGTGACTCCGATGCTAGTATGTCTGCATGATCCTAACATGTGACTACAAAATGTTAGCATGATCCTAGCATGTGACTGTGTGATCCCCGCATGTGACTACGTCATCCTAGTGTGTGTCCATGTGATCCTGGCATGTGTCCATATGATCCTAATGTGTGTCTGTGTGGTCCTAGCCTGTGATCCTAGAATTTCACTGCAAGATTCTAGCGCATGACTGCATGATCCTCACATCACTGTGTAATCCTAGCATATGACTCTGTGATCCTCGTGACTGCATGACCTTATCATGTGTCTGGTTGATGCTCACATGTGACTGCATCATCCTGCTGTGCATCTGCATGATCCTAGGGTGTATCTGTGTGATCTGAGTGTGTAACTGTGTGATCCTAGTATGTGTCTACATAGTTCTAGCATGTGACTATGATCCTAGTGTGTAACTGCATGATCCTAGCATGTGACTGCTTGATCTTAGCATATGACTGTGATCCTAGCATGCAACTGCCTCTCCTTGACCTTCACTGAGTGAAGAGACTTAGTTTTATCTCTCAATCAGGCCAGGAACTGTTTCAGGTTACCAAGCAAGCCTCTCCAGACCCTCCTAAGTGATTTCATCCATCATCTTAAATTGCAGGGATTCATCTTGTTTCTTTGACCAAATCTTCAGTAAACATAGACTATTTAAGGTTTCCTACGGTGTGTTTGACTCAAACCTGCTCTCATTAGTATGTTTTGAATCAAACATACAGGAATCCAACACTAGGTGGAGCTGCAGCGACCACCATCTGGAAATGGCTCAACCGATAAGGTGCCTGGTCCTCAGCACACAGTTTATTCGCCTCCAGTTTCTGTAGAAACGTTCAAATTGCCCTTCAGTTTTGTGGTTGCTAAGGTAATCTGAACATCACAGAATGAGCATTACAAAGCACATGAGGAGCACATGGTCGGGAAACAGATGGAAATGGTGATTCCCTCCAGTAACGTGCCCCATCTTTTGCTTTGTCAGGTGAACAAGGGGTTCAAATGTGACGTGTGCTCGCGCGAGTTCACGCTGTCCGCCAACCTGAAGAGACACATGCTGATCCACACCAGTGTGCGGCCCTATCAGTGCCATGTCTGCTTCAAGACCTTCGTCCAGAAGCAGACCCTCAAGACTCACATGATCGTGCACCTTCCTGTCAAGCCCTTCAAATGTAAGGTGAGTCTGCTCACTCCAGGGAGAGACTAACAGCCTCTGAGGGCAGGAATTTCTTACACAGGAATTCACCGTAGTCGCTTGGAAGACTAAACATCATTATTTGATGGCCATTGATACAAGAACAAAGTAAGCCTCATTATCAGCTAATCAAAGATGGCAACTGTCTTTCCCATCTATGTTTGCGGTCCATCTCTGAAGCTGCCACTCCATCCGGCTATGTCCATATGAACACACCGCCACCATCGCTGTCATCCCGTAATATTCTTGGTACCTCGATATCAAGGTGGTCGTGCGAGACCTGAGCTGGGTACGGTAAAGCATCAGCGGAGTATAAGCGTGCCATGTGAGCGGAGTGTATCCTTTGGTCTCCAGGTGTGTGGAAAGTCCTTCAACCGCATGTACAACCTGCTAGGTCACATGCATCTCCACGCGGGCAGCAGGCCCTTCAAGTGCCCCTACTGCTCCAGCAAGTTCAACCTGAAGGGGAACCTCAGCAGGCACATGAAGATCAAGCATGGTGTTATGGATGCTCCCCCGGAGGTGCTGGGTGAAGAACAGCGCCCCCTGCCTGACAGCCCACACACAACTTCTCTGTCTGCCCCCCGTTCCTGTCGTTTTCAGCACCTGTGATGTTCCACGACCCACGTTCCCTGCTATGCCTTGCTTTCCTGCCCCAGCCATTAGCTTATGTGCATCTGTGTTTTCATGTCTCAAGGGGACAAATCGTGAAGATAAATTGTAGGAGAGGTTTATCGGTTTAAATCGCTTTTTGTGGTTTGCTGGAACATTACAGTGCGATGGGAGCCAGAGGGAAGTCCTCACAGGCAGAGCTACGCCTAACGCATGTGTGCGCAGATAGACTGGGCTGATTGGCCCAGGAAAGCGACAACCCAAAGTGGATAAAGATTAGTTGAAGGTGGGTGGATGGAGGGACATTGGGAGAGTGTGTGCACTAATGGTTAGGTCTGGGAGCTGGAGTTTACAGTAGGAGAAAATGGGCTAACTAGCCTTCTGCTGTGTGGAACCTGAAATTAGCTCCACCTTGTAACGTTGCTTTGCCTTCAGAAGGCCATGTCTATGAAGGGACAGGAGAGTCTCACCAGCGCTGCTGCTGAAAGCTTCCCCTCGAAGCCAGCTGAGGCTGCGTGAAGAAGAAACACCAGGATGGTGTGGTGATGACGAGGAATGATTGAAAGGGTGTATCTGAAATATTCCTCCATGGTCTGCGGTGGTGGTTTTTTTGGGTGTGTTCAGGGTTTCTGCAGTGACGGAACTGGACTGTTTTCAGGGAAGATGGACGGTGAGATGTGAAGCAGCGTGACCTGTCTCGGCAGAATGAGGTCTGCCGTGTGACCTGTGCTTGAGATCGCGCTTCTGCGAGGTAGGCGCTGACTCAGGCCTGACACCACAGTGCGCTCTCCACTCCCCAGCTCCTGTAGATACCCAGCAGAAGAATATTTCTTAATTTTGCTACAGAAGTTCAGCGAGAACAGCCTCAGTGTGGATACACATGTCTTGGGTGCATCAGTGCGTGTCCTTGTAGTGTTTTGCTGGCCTTGTCTCTGTCGCCTTGTGCGTATTTCACATTTATCAGATATCATGAATTCCTGATTTTGGCTGGATATTGAATTACTGTTTTGCTTCCCAGCATAATGGATTTCTGCTTTGCTCTAACTGAGGTGGACTCGCCTGGGTAAACAAGCTTTCACATTCTGACGCAGAGCTGTGTTTTTCCGTGAGGTTCATTTTTTTGAGGTTCAGATGACACCCAGCTGGTGGGGGGTGGGGTGGGGCAGACATTTATATAACAATTCCTAGTTGAGTTTCATAATAACAGCTTTAGACACAAAACTAGTATTTCATTTACATTCCTTGTTTGATCTGATGAAATGTTCAGTTGTAAGAACCTTTGCAGATTGCTGCCCTCCCCGTACCAGCAAACCGTGAAGGTGTGCCTGCCTGGACACACTGATGTGTCAGTCCTGTGACAGCCCCCACCCCCTCCAATATTTTGTGGTGAGTGCTGCCCCCTGTTGGAGCAGAACCAGAACAGCTAGATTCATGCTGGCCAAATGTTAAAACATGTTTCATGATGCAAACTGTCCCCAGAAATGGAAAAAGTGTCTGTCTCCTATTTTTTACAAACATTTCTTTAAAGACTCACACCATGAGCCCTGGGCAGTAAATATATTCTTTTTATAATGAATGTGTACTTGCTCATGGTAGGGAGGCTGCACACAGCCCCACGCATCACTTCCTCACGCATCACTTCCTCATGCATCACTTCCTGTGACACCAAATAAACTAATGTGTGGTTGGTGGCGACCAACTGCCCATCCTTGCATCACCTACACCCAAACTTCATTGCTTTGAGCCTCAAACACTACACACTGCTGCCATTAGTAATTAGCATTCTTGACACTAGCAGCCCAATAAAAGCTCTCGTTAGCTGGTCAGATGAAGTCTGTTATCGCCCTGTCCTTTTGGGTGTGATGGGTTGACACTGGAGGCTGGGTTGCCATCTCAGCATAAAGACCCTTGGTGTGAACTGAGTGATCACTCTTTGGGTGTTTTTCAGAAAGCTATTTCTTCAGAAATGTGTGAATATGCCTATTCAGTCTTAAAAAGAGCATATGCATATCGCCAGGCAGAATATCTTGCTGTTAGGCAGCATCTTACCTACCCTGGATAAATGTTGACAAATCATTTAAAATATTTGAATAAATTAGTCATTTGCTCCAGACCTCAGAGGTAAATGATGGGTGATATTTCAGCAGATGTTGCATTTATTTCTTGACGGAAATGCTGAGTACTGAGGCAGCCGGGAGGCGGCAGCGGGAGCTGATGGGGTCTGTGTGAGGCCTGTGGGTGGGGGGGGGTGTTAGACACACTGTTCTTAGAGGTCATGGAGAGGGTGGATAACTTGCTGTTTCTTCAGTTCACTGTTACTTCTGATTGGTTTTATTTCAAACTGAATGGGACCCTCAAAGCCGACACCCCCCGCCCCCCGCCATCGTACTCCGTCAGACGAAGACCCACCGTTCCTGATTCACTTGGCATCCTGCAATGACTGTCAGAAGGCTTCCAAAATGCCACCCACCCGCAGCTCCCTGAACTACTGTCAGACGCCGTGGGTCTGTTTGACACTCACCTCAGTGTAATATGTGCTTTTTAAACTCCTTCAGTGGCTTTGTAGAATTTTTTTTTACATTTAATCTTTCTTTGGGTCTAATCCTGTGCACAGAAATGGCTGGAGGTATGTGAATTTTCCAAACAGTGAAATGTTCTTATTTTGGTTCCTAAATCCAATAATACTTTGACAGTAACCACAATGTGTAACTATGTGCTGTGATAAACCTGTTCTTTTTAGTGTTGGTTCTTCAATAGTATAAAACCAAGTGTTAATGTGTCTCAAGTAAATCCAAAAAGTATTTCCCTGTCCTTGAAGCCCAAGATATTTTGCAGTAGTAGTTGATTTCCTCAGGAGCGGTTCTCGGGAACACAATCATGCTAAAACACATCTAACACCTCAGGGGTCTGCAGAAAATAACTCAGACACAAAAATTAGACCCTGTTTAGTTACCCGGGTAACCAGGTCATGTGAGTGGGGGGGAAATTGACCAGAGATCACCCGGATCAGGAAAGGAGACGGCGCTGACAGAGCGATCATGACATTCAATATTTCAGGTGCTCCTCCGATTTCCAGCCTGCCTGCGAACCTTGGTGGTGCAGAGCACAGCTCCGGACAGCCAATGACAGCAGAGTCTTCAGAGAGGGAAGCTGTTCACACTGCACCAGAGAGGCTGTGAAATTCAGGAACCGCCATTTTCTCACAAGGGGCCCCATCGAGTGACAGATCACACAGCACGCCACCGACTGACCAAACACATTTAATTTGTCTGTATTTCTGAAATCTTTGACATCATAGACAACAGAGAGTAAAATAAACTATGTTCTAACTGTCAGCTTTAGGGGACAGTTGAAGTCTTTGGTTCTTACTGTAAAGAACTTTAAAACATCTCTACATGTAAATAAAAACACTTTTGGTGTGCTTTATCGAGGAAGAAAATGAAATATTTATGACTGAACAGGTGCTCCTGAAAGCGATCTTGGTGGGTATCATCATTAAAATAGCCGGCAGTTCTCCAGTTTCCTTCTACAGGATCTGGGTACTATAACAGTGGAAACTGTGACTGTACATTCAGATGCTGTCTTAATGAAGAAAAAAAAAAAATAATATATATATACAGTCAAAAGGTATATTTCAGGGAAGAAGTGTGTGATAAAGGCCCTTTAAAAAGATGCTGCTGAAGATGTCATTCCCAAGTCAGTCTACTTGCGGAGAGCTTTGTCCAGATTGTTCCTGATGGCATCCAGGAAGTCCGTGGTGTTGACATAGTGTTCATTCAGCTTGCAACTGCAAGGTAACAAGCACGGGTCATGGTATTATTTGGGAAAGGGGATGCTCCAAACGTGTGTGTGTGTGTGTGTGTGTGGGGGGGGGGGGGGGTAATCTGGATCTTTCTAGAATAGTGTGTTCATGCATTGAATTACTTGGAACTCTGAGGAGGAAAACACAAGAAGGAGATCCAGATTTGCATTTTTTTTTAATGTGCTGAGCAAGCTGGGAGACTCACTTGGCAAGGCCATGGATGCAGCCGGCGAGATCCTTGGTCATCACGCCACTTTCCACGGTCTCTACACACACCCTCTCCAGGGTCTGGGAAAACCTGCAAGTACAATGATTCACGTTTGCTGTGAATAACTCGCAGTGTCTGAGCACTGAAACACAGATTGCATCATTCTTCTCTTCCACTCTACTTCCACTCTATTCTTCTCTTCCATTCTACTCTGTTTGTCTGACTGGTCAGGGTAAGACGGGAGTTGAACGCTGACATTACTTGATCAAGTCGGGATTGTTGTCCAGTTTCCCGCGATGTTCGAGACCCCTGGTCCAGGCAAATATGCTGGCAATGGGGTTAGTGCTTGTCGGCCTTCCCTGGAAGAGTAAAGACATTAGCACCTATGGCTTCAGGAACACGGAGGCTCCTCAGTCACCTCTACTTGAGAAGAGAACTCCTCCCTCACCTTCTGGTGCTCACGGTAGTGCCTGGTCACTGTGCCATGGGCCGCCTCTGCTTCTATGGTCCGGCCATCGGGACACACCAGCACTGAGGTCATCAGCCCCAAGGAGCCAAAACCTGAAATACAAGGCGAGGCCGGGTTATACCCCAGTGGGGCTACGGACTGCAGGCAGCAGGTAGCCTAGCGGGTGAGAACAGTCCCAGGAGGAGCCTTTTCTGGTACCTCTGAGTTGGTTCATTTGATCAAAAGCATCAGCTAAGTGATTGAATTTTACTACCAATGCGAGTGCTAAAACATCAAGTCATTCTGGAAATTACGTAATGGGGGTTCCTTTCACAGGAACCATGTGGAGAGCAAACAGAGACCCCACCCTGGGCCAGGATGTCCGACTGCACATCTCCGTCGTAGTTCTTGCAGGCCCACACGAAGGCCCCGGAGGACTTCAGCACCTGGGCCACCATGTCGTCGATGAGTCGATGCTCGTACCAGATCTTGATCTTGTCAAACTCTGGCTTGTAGTTCCTGCATAAGATGTCATGAATGTAGATCCTGATCCACACACAGAGTGAGGAATCGCAAAGTCCACTTCAAACATGATCAGCACAGCCATGTGATGAAGATTTGGAGATTTTCTTCAACATTTTTGCTCTCCATATCTAACCATCTCTCAATACCTCATTTTGCTCATCTGTCTGCTCTGTATTATGGTATGTAGCCTGATACTGTCACCCTTAGTGTTCATAATCATTACTTCTCAAAGATGTCCTGGAAGATGTCTTTGAAGCGACCATCGTAGGCCTTCAGGATGGTGTTCTTTGTGCTCATGTAGAGGGGCCACTTCTTCTGGATGGCGTACTGGAAACAGCTGTGTGCAAAGCCGCTAATGGACTACAGGAGGGGGGACAGTGAGGGAGGGAGAATCCAATCATCCAAGTACCAAAATAGGAATTACTGCTGAGGCTCAAATCACAGCAGGTAGGATAGAAACTGAAACCAGTATAACAGGTGGCAACTGAATTACAGGAAATGACTAACAAACCAAATAATACAATTTTAATGTACAAAATTAACATTAAAGTCTCAAAAGTGACGGAAAGGACAAGTGGTGGTGGGTGGTCTCACCTCATCTGTGTTGTACATCCCCATGCCACATCCCCCCCCAGGGAAGTCAAACACCTCCCACTCCTTGGCTTTGCTCCCGTCGGTGGGGGTAAAGATTATCTTGAATTTGCCGGGCTGGTTCACCACAAAGTCCGTCGCTCTGTACTGCTCGACAGAGATACAACAGGCATCATGGAATGACCGAAAGTCTCATGTAACAATCACCAGGGATCACGCTCGTGCCGAGAAGCCACACCTGGTCACCAAAAGCGTGCCTGCCTATAGTGATAGGCTGCGTCCAACCAGGGACCAGACGGGGAATGTTCTTGCAGATGATTGGCTCACGGAACACAGTCCCGCCCAGAATGTTTCTGATTGTTCCATTGGGACTCTTCCACATCTTCTTCAGCTTGAACTCTGGGGAGTGAGGGTGAGTAAACTCAGTGTGACACAGCTCAACCATACTCAATTATTCCCCACCCTTATCACCATCCAAATGACCGACGCTACCTTCCACTCGGGCCTCATCTGGCGTGATTGTTGCACATTTAACAGCGACACTGTATTTTTTGGTGGCTAGGGCACAGTCGATGGTGACCTGATCGTCTGTCTGGTCACGGTATGGAAGGCCCAGGTCAAAGTATTTCAGTTCCACGGCAACGTGGGGCAGGATGAGCTATCAGGAGCAGAAAGTAACAACATTAAGCCATCTGCTATTATGAGAGGTTAATTGAAATGTTTAATTATAAAGATTCCATTCAATAGGTAAGAAATTCTCTGGGAAACTCATTAATTTAGGACATTTATTTACACATTTAGGGAAATGCCAATTAAACAAATCAGCTCCTGATGCTTCAAATTCATACAGATCACATGCAATAATGTCATCCACTGGGCACCACCCACAGTAACCAGTGGAAGCTCCTGAACCATCTTCAGCCTGATTGCCGTTCCTGAACCCTACCTTTTCCTTGATGAACTCCCATATTATCCTGGTCATCTCATCACCATCCATCTCCACCACGGGCTGGGCCACCTTGATACGTTTGTCAGCATCTGCAGAGCAATAAAAAAAAATAAACATAAAAAAAGCAGAAATGATGGGTGGTGTCATTTCTAGAACCAAGAAGAGCCAAGAACATCATGTCAGAGAAACACTTCCTATGCAGTAGACCAGAAATGTTATTGCTGGGTCATTCCAAATGTAACAGGAAAGAGAAAATGAAAATTACACACCTCACAAGTTTAAAGGGTGGGTGCATTTACTAAAGAAAATTGATCATGCTGACTGGCATTTTGCAATAAAATATTGTGAAACAAAATGTTACGAGGATGGCATATTTTGTTAGTTGAGCATCAAGACTCTCCCCTCCATTGACAGTGAAACTCAAAGGAAGGAGTTCCTTAATATCAGAGTATAGTTTGACAAAACTCGGTCCTTCGCTAGTAAGCCGGGTTTGAGATCACCCTGCATCAGCTGACCTTGGGAAATGGTATCGCACAAAAATGGGGAAGAATCTGCTGAAAGTGCCCCTTCCAGGGCTGAGGACTTGGCCTCCATTCTCACACTCCTGTCCTCCAGGACAGGAAAGGGAATGGTGACTCCATAGCAACTGGGGCTACCCCAGAAACATATCAGAACATGACCCTCACATACTCCACATGGCTATAACACAGCTCTGCACACTGTAAACCAGGGGTTCCTGAAGTTGGAGTCATGACGCACCAGTAGGGTAAAATGACGGTCCAAGCCTCTGGCACTTATATTTTGGGGGGTCGTGGGTAGAAAAGTTTGGGAACCCATGCTATATACCAGGGGTGGGGAACCTGATCCATGGAGAGCCGGTGCGGGTTTTTGGGATGACCTCTCAATCAGCCAATAACAGTGGGTCTCCAGAACTGGAGTTGAGAACCACTGGTATTTTATTGGCTGATTGAGAGGTCAACCCAAAACCCCGCACTAGCCCTCCGTGGAGCAGGTTCCCCACCCCTGCTGTAAACAAAGGTAGGCAGAGGTGCACAGGGCATCAGTGAGTGTTATACGTATGAAGCTGAATCACTGGCACAGGACCAGTGACCAGGTAACACACGTTACCTTTGACCTTTTCAATAGGTCACAGGATGTCCGCTGTCCTCTCTGCTGTCATTTAGGAAATAAGAACTTAACGATCTGTTAAAATGGAGGTTAAATATTATTTATCATTTATGCCGCTTCCAAGTTAACTGCTCAGGTCACACTGCTTACCCTGTGCAAAAAACACAACATTAA